CCCAGTCAGGTCCTTAAATCTCAGAAAATCCAATCAGCCCCTACAGCACCAGCTTAAAGGCTGCCTCCATAATTGCCAAGCTGAGACCACAAGACAGAGATGTTAACTTGATAGAACATGATTTATTTGGGTCTTGCGGACTGCTCATTCAAGGCAGGTTTGTTTCTGAGCCGAAAGGCTCTTCCCTGACAGTTTTGAAATATGATTGGAAACTTGCTGCGAGATAGGGTTTGGGTTTGGCTTTTTTTTAGTATTTTGATGACATTTTCAAGCACCATATAAATGGTGCATCAACACAGTGGAAGCATCACAAAACCACTAGCTGTTATGCCAGTAACCAAATCATTTCTACTGACATCTCTGTGCTGTCTACAGGTCTGTTATTTAAAGAAATCAGAAGAAAATGAAGTCAAGAAAATGTCCCTATTGGACAGGGTACAGATAAGTGATCAGACATCAACTATATTGCTTAATAATGATAAAGAAAAGAAAAACACAGCTGGGAAGAACACATTGAAAAAGCAGAGAAAGTTTGCAAAGTATTAAAAATGTACCAAAAGCCATGACTTACCGGTGCACCCACATAGCCTTTAATTCCTGGAGGACCCTGCTTTCCCTCGGATCCCTGGCAAGAAACTGAGGCACAGTAAAACACCAGAAATTGTCTCATGTAAGAATAAAACCAGTTATTCAGAAATGGAAGTTGCATTTCTGGGCTCACAAGGGGCTGTTGAGGATTCTCCATTGTCTCAGCACTAACACAGAGAGCAGGGTCTGACTTTCCAGCTACTTACCCAAAGTGATACCCCAATGTTTTCTTCTGTCCCCAGTGCTCAGACATTAGCAAGTTTTATCCTTCTGCAAAAGGCAAACCGCCCTATGCAAGCTCCTCTACAGGTAATTTCAAAGGCTTTGGCCACATCAGTCATTGCCTGTCCATTGCATGTGGCGTGATTGAGCTCTGTTCTGGCTCATGAACACTGATGGTGGAACAAAGCACAGGCATGCATTGCAGCAAACACTGCAGCAAAGGCCATATCCTAGCATAAATGAATCGCAGACTTCAAGATATTGTTTATTTTGAAGAATAAATGAAAACCAGATCTGAACTGTATTCTCTGATGTTTATTTTCAGCATAAGTGGGAGAAATGAAAGAGAATCAGGTACATTTCAGTAGCCCTTCAGCTGGCTGCACACTGACTTTTCCTGGAGAGATGGAGAGCACTCTCATTGTGTGCTTTTATGTGTCTTACAATTCCTGAAAATGGTCTGGATCCTCAGCTGAACAGGCTCAGCCTTCAAAATCATCCTATAGAGACAGACTGGACCTGACAGAACAGAGTCTGCCAACAAGAACAGGTTTGGCATCACCTATCACCTGTATGACTGATTTCTTTTCATACTTATCTCACTTCCCTTCCCATGTGGTTAGCTTCTGTACTGGGTGTTTGTACTAGATAAAGATTCAAAACAGATCAAGACTTTATTTTTAAATCACTTCTGCATTTCATATTAATAGATCCATTCTTCTTTAAAAAAAAAAAGGACAAAAAAGCAGACAAAAAAACCCAAACCCAAACAACTCACAATCAAACAAAAAGAACCCCCAAGGTATGTTTGCAATGAATTATTAGCAGAACTGAGGCTTTTTTTCCTAATGCAAGTGCCCAGGACACTGGTCATGTCACATCCCTGTTTACACTCACCTTAGCCCAAATGATAATCTCATTTGGAGCAGTTGTTCAGAACAGACCTTGGCTGGTCTGTGCTTGGCAAGTGTTCCACCACTGCTTTAAGGAATACATTGCCCATTGCCAAAACAGTCCCCCTCCCTTGGCCAGGGAGGACTTGACTTGTTAAAGCAGGTGAACCTGTGCCCTGAAGCCTGTGAATAGTTCATCCGCTCAGCTGTGAAGTGGCTGAACCTTTGTTAAGCAAACCACATGGTAAACTTAGAGGTTAAGGGGGATTCACGATTCACAAACCAGTTAACAAGAGCTGGGTTTAAGCACAGGCAAAACTGTTCTGGGGATCTTTACAACATGAGGCACATGAGGACCTGCAAGGTCAGGAAGTGGTGCAAGACCTCTAATGGCAACAGGCATGCTCTCCCTTTAGCCTGCAGAAAAATACTGCTGTCAAAGAAGGTAAAACCTATAGAGAAATAAAGGCCTTCTTCAAGCTGTCCAAATGATCAAAATCCAACTCAGTACCATTACATAAATCATGGCTATAACACTCAGCAAAAGTTACAGAGAAACTGGGTTTGTCTGGAGAGGACTTGCTGATCCCATCCAAGGCCTTTGCTGAGATCATGTCTGGTAAACCAGAGAGGTGTGAGACATTCAACAGCTGAAGCAAACAAGAAGAGAGTTTGTCAAAATGAAACTCTTACCTAATACTTTAGAATTCAAAGCCTTGATGTTTTTTTCCCCTCTGCTTCTGTTTTTGCTAGCAAGTGCAGGTAACTGTCAGTTCAGATGGGGATGTTACAGCTCTGTCAGTGCCATAGCATTGACAGCCACAGAAAAATCTCATTAACTGTTTACTAAAAATATAGGAGGAAAAAAGAAGGGAAAGGCTGAATATTTGCTGTAGGATTTCACAGGCTAAAGGGTTTAGTCTCAAAAATCTAAGCTTTGTTTCACTACTATAATATGATGAGGGACCTGAGCTATGGCCTTTTTAATCTGGATCCACTGACTCCAATTAAACTAACCTGCCAGGTCACGCATATTTATGTGGGAGCATTCTTCACTGGCCAGTGGATATTTCTTGCTATCTCAGTGCGCAGTGTAATCTAGAAGCAGAAGCTCCCACACTAATTAGCACAAGGCTATTGAGAGCTCTTTACTTCCACCGTCGTAGGCAGCAAGATCATACATTCTTCTTGGTAAGCAATGAAGTTTACCCACCAAATGGAAAAGAAAGCAAAACAACAAACACACAAAAAATAACAATTATTTTTATGATGAAAACACTGAACTAGGAACAATCTCCCCTGCTGACTTCACTCAGCAGCACAAGTGGTAGAACCAGAGATGACATACCAAGGCCATTTCACTCTTGTAACCCACACGTAGAATCATAGCACCAACTAGGTTGGAAAAGACCTTTAAAATCATCAAGTCCAACCATTACCACCACTAAACCGTGTGACAGAGGGCCTCAACATGTACCCTAATGGGCTCATCATCCCTTAGGGTACCCCTGTGGATTGAAGTCCTATTACCAGAAGCCTGCTCTACCCTTACTTGTCCTACTGGAAGCTTCACACAATCAATGAGATCTGTACAAGCTGTAAGGCACCTCCTTAAAAGAAAGTGCTGGCAATTCCCATTGAGGAGAAGACTGGAAATCCCTGAGTCAAGCAGATGAGCAGGGGGCTGAGTTTTATGAGGTGTACATACAACTGCTGAATGTGCACTGTGGTTTCCTGGCTCAATGCACATAAAGGTGGACTGAGCCAGGAAGGACCAAATCCCAACCAACCAGAGAAACTGCAAGGTAGAGCTGCATGGAGCCTGGGGTACAATCCAGAGACATTGTATTGACGCTGATGATAAAAAAAGTCATCTAGCAAAAAAACCCCAATCATCACAACAATTGCCCATCTCCACACCACCAAGGTATTTGAGGTTTACACTGAAGAGTAAAGGTGTGTGGATTTGTATTTTATATTTTAAAGCCCCATCAACAAAGTCAGGATAGCTTCTTAAAATAGCTCAGGCCAGAATCCAACTCAAGGACACTGCATATAGGTAGTGCACCCACTGAGGGAAATAAAAGGCACAGTGAAAGCACAAAATCATTTTGCAGTTGAGAGGCTGCGGTTGGCCAAGCTCACCTCCTCACTGGGAGCACTTGGCACTGTCTAGTCAGATGTCTACAGGTCCAGCCCTGCCAGCACCTATCCTGCCCAACCCATAGTGCTGACCTATTCAGTATCACCTTGCTACTTGGCTGGATTCTATGCGCCTGATGATCCTGGTGCAAATACAGAGCATTGTGCAGGATCAAGCCCTTTTGGAGGTAGATATAGATGTCTCAGTTCAGCTTGGCTTGTGAAAGTTTTGCAAAGCAAGGGTGAGGAACTCCATACCTCAAGGAGCATCTTATAGCTTACAGGTTTGTAATTCCACTATAGGAAACATGCAGGAAAGAGAGAAAATATGTACTTATTTACATGACAGGAGAGATGCAGGTGACAGGCACTGTGGGTGATGAATTCCATTCATTTCATCCAGTCCCAAATCCCACTGATGGGCAAAACAGTATCCACAGTGTCTCCACTCAGCTCAGCTTATCCCTGCTTCACAGCTCTCATTTACCTGCTGCTGAACATGCTGCAATGCAGCTTCCACAATCAACCCCTTCATGTTGATGAAGGCAATATGGGTCTCGCAGAGAGCTGTGGGATGGCTACCAAGTATTGTCACTAATCCACAGACACACAGTTCTGATACACTCAAAAGCCTCTCCACAGCTGAGGAACCTAGAAGGACCTGTATAAATGAACTTCTTCATTGAGTACTCTTAAACAGAGGAAATTGACTATCAGGACTGTATCTGGAAAGGTGTTCAGGTACTTAACTCCTATGTAAGGACAAAGGCAAACTCAGTGGAAGGTTTGAATGACCAGATATGGCTTCTCCAGAAAGATGCATTTCTTAAAGGTCAGTATTTGTACAGGAGAAAAATGGGTGAAATAAACTTGGGCAATCAATCTGTTGTCAGATTGAGTCATCGGCTGACCTGACCTTGCTGTGCACGATGCCCCTGAAAACACTTGTTAATCTAGTGTACCATCTTCTTTTTGTGCTATAACAAGACCGAAACTAAATGAGGGGTAGTTACCCCTCAGTAACCAAGGAACAAGGAAAGGAGAGCTAAGGCTTTGAAAGGAGATTAAAGAATTAATCATGAGAAGGGCTTCAAATTTAGGCACATTTCTGGCACCCATCGAAGTCTCACCAGATTTCCATTCAGAAGCAACATATTTGAAGCAAACCTGGTGATACTGAGCATTGACACAAGTCCTACTATCTACTGGCACAAAACTGAAGCCCCCAAAATAGGCAGAAACACCCAGGCTAAGATCTCACTGTGATAATTTGTTTTCCCCCAGTCACAGAGTAGGGATAATTCTCACCCACATCTTTGTGAGAGCTGGGAGTGCTTACTTAAGACATGAAGCAAGGCTCATGTGCCTAAAACACATCTTCTTTACCTTCTGCAGCTGGGCTGTTGATTGAACAAAAGGTATTTCTTCTTTTTACATACCTTGCCTAATTGCTCAACCTTAGCAGACCCCTGAAGAAGCTGAGCAGTTTGACTTTTGATATTCACACTGGTGAATGGAGAAAGTCATTAACAAAAACCAATCCACACATATAAAGAGTCAGTGAAAAAAACCCAATGCCTGCCCATATAAAGAAGAAATGGAAAGCTTACTTTTGGACCTGCTGGCCCTGGCAGTCCAAATGCTCCTGGCTGTCCTGGTTCACCCTGCAAATAACAAACAGCAATACTGGTGGTAAATGCTAACCTTTTATATATAAAAGCTAGGATGGCTCAAAATAATCATTACATACAGCCTCAGAAATGAAAGCTTTATCTAATAACTACAGTCCTGAGCATCATTATCCAGAGATCTGAAAGTCTGCAGTGTGCTTTCTTCACACATAGCAAAGCAGAAAGAGGCAAACTGAAAACTGAATGAGCTATTCGTCTGCTCTTCAAACACAATCACCTAAGTAGCAAGAAATTACTTCCCTAAGCTGTGAACAGCTTGCACCAACTACAGTCTACAAACATATATTCCTTGGAGATAACGTCATTCATTTGGTTTGGAATGGTGACTTTACAGTGTAAAAAAATGCATCTTATGAGAAACTCTGCAAGTCCAGGCATGCTATTGTCCAAGCCCAGACCATGCCACATGTGATGTGGTGAAGCTGTGTAGGTTCTGAAACCTATAATGGAAAACAACCACATTTTATCCACAAATGTGGCAAAAAGCAGTAACAGGATGCAAGGCAACAAAAAGAAAAGAGCTTTTCTGCTGTTTATCACTGTTTTAGTGTACGCCTGTCCTTCCAAAGGCTCAATTCCTCAAGTTCCTCCAGTTACCACCAAACGATTGCCACAAATGGACAGTGAATGAAATGATAAAAGTCCACCACTGGGATGAAGAGAATTCAAAGGGATGGTGATCAAGCAGGAAAAGGAGGGAATGCTCTAAAGCACACTTGTATCTGCTTGACATACTGGAATATGTGATTTAAATGTTGGAATATGGTATTTAAATACTGGAAAATGTGTGTGTGTTTTTACATTTCATCTGTAGTTCTCTTAAAGGCGGTATTTGGTACATTGCCTCCTTCTTTAAGCTAACACTGCACCTCTTCCTTTGCTATCAGCTTTTAGCAGTGCACAAAAAGAGTTCTGGTGCTTGCTTCTGTGACCAAGACACCTATTTTTCTTACCCCTGTCCACTGTGGAAGTACAAGATGGTGCCTGCAGCCCTGCCATCTCCATCAGCCAATGACCCTTTGCCAGACTTAAAACAAATGGCCAGGCTCTGGAGTTGGAGCTATTAACCAGCACAGCAGCAGCGGGCCCCAAGCCACAGGCTGCCACAGCTGCTCCCTTTTCCATCTTAATGAATGGTAACAGAGCTGCTCTGGGAGCAAATCAAGATGGCTAATCCATAAGACTCCTGCAAGCGTGTGAGGGAGAATGCTGGGGCTATTAACCTCCTGCCATTTGTTTCTGCTGCTCCTAAAATTACCATACAAATCCCCAAGACATGTTTCACTCAATACAGATTGATTTCCACTGCCTGCCTCGCACTGAAAGGCAGGGATTACATGGGGAGGAACAAAAAGGCTTACGGCTTCTCCTTTTGCTCCATCCTTCCCAGGGAGGCCAGGTGAGCCCAGGAATCCCTGTAATAACAACAATCACCATCAGCACAATATTAACACCCATTGCAAGTGCAAGGACGTAAGTAACGTATCAAGACATTAATAAGGAATGAGGAGAATCATTTCGATGCAAACATTTATTTATAGTCTCTGTAGGGGCTGTTGCTGACATTAACACGCTATTTGACAGAGCAAGCTCGGTGCAGGAAAACTTATTTTTCCTTCTCCCCCACCCCAAATAAGATGATGACACAGTATCAGCTAAGGCCATCTCAATTCAAAAGTTATTTATGTTACTGAAGAAACACTAACGTTTCTGTATGTGGAGGCATTAGCACTGAGCTTCTGTTCTGTTCCACTCTTCTGTTTTAGAATTTTACAAGGTTTAGACAAGGTTCCTGACCTTGTTAACACAAAACAAGAAAACACAGAGGTAAACCAAAAGACTTAGAAAAGGGCCTGTTTCCATAAGCCTTTCACAGTAGCTTTATAAACTCAAGCTTTTCATAGTATAATGAGAATAAAGAGTTGGACTTACCTTTTCTCCTTTATCCCCTTTCAGTCCAGGAAAGCCGGGGGGCCCTTCTTCACCCTACACCACCAATAGAAATGATACCTCATATGAAATGCCACACCATTCTCTGGTAGGTCTGCGTATTTGGGACAGCACAGTTATAGGACAGCTCTTTTAAAGAGTTGAGGCCAACTTCTCCTCCTTGCTGTAACAATGCTGTTCTTGATCACCTGTAACTTGCTCATACCCAAACAGCTACACTTTCAATTCTTAGTTCCAGTGTCTTCCTCTGGCTCATTCCTCCTCCCCACCTTTTTGTAAACATCATCCAGAACCAGTCTTTTACAAGAACACATTTGAGACCTATCCTTGTTAAATAAAACCATTTGAAGCATAGAAGCTTTTCACTGAGAAACTCTCTTGCTGCCTCATTTCAAAGAATGAGGTCTCAAAATTTGGCACAGCCAACATACTGACACAGCAAATGTCCAACTGCATGGGAACTTCCTGAAGAACACAAATGTGGGAATTCTTTCCCCTTTACCTGCTGACATTACACCAAAATATAACCTTCAAATCCACTCAACCCAGACCTTATCAATAGGGCTGGATTTTACAAGAGATGTTGCCATGAGTCCTTTAAAGGACTGTTGCCAGTGTCTCTCCTACCTGAAAGAACAGCCATCCACTAGCACTGCTGGCAAACGACATGCCACAAAGCAGACTGAAGTGACTGAGAGCTCATCTACTTTTGTAAAAACTCAGTAACACAGAAGAATCCTTTTGAAAGAGCATTAACATGACTAAGCACTTGATGCATACCTGTATTTACTTATACAGGTTAATTATAGTTGCCTGCATATACTTACAGAGGACTACCTACATACTATAGACTACCTCATGTAACATGAGCAGATAAATTCAGCCCAAATTCTGCCATGTTGTCTTATTCGTGTTTCTTACTAACTGCACCTTCATGAAGTCAGATCTGCTGTATTTGAATGGCTTCTTAGTGAGGTAGAAAGCCCATCAAAAAGCAAATGTCAATTTTAAGGAAATCATTTGCTCTAAGAGGCTGATACATCTTGAAGGAAGTGCTGTTCCATGGCAAAGTGGGCAGCATAGGTAGAAGAAAAAATTGTGTCTTTTCCATGCAAAGTAAAGGAATTTGGTTAACTTTTTCCTTTTATTCTCCATGAAGTGCCAACTCCTTGGCACAGCTGCACAAATTAATCATAGCAGTCAGTAAGTCTGATGCATAGTATTCATAGGACCTCATACTGTTTCTAGTCCAACTTCCCTCTCAAAACACCATCAACATTGAAGTCAGACCAAGTTGTACAGAGTTTCTCCAATTTGGAGTTCAAAATCTCACAAAATAAGGCTACTCTTCTTCCCAGATGTTACTTACCTCCTAAGACAATAGCACCCCAGGAAGAGAAAAATGCTTTTGCTGTTGTATTCATTATTTATTAACCAAAGCAGAGCAATTTTGTCCTTTTGATTTTTAACAGATCTCAAGCAGCTGCTTACAAAGATGGGGAGCCCAGGGCAGATCTGTTGGCCCTCACAACCAAGAGGCTACATGGGCATTTGAAGGAAGGCACTTTGACTCTCCCTTTTGGTGACCATACATGCCACAGACAGCTGGTCAGTCTTAACTGCCACCCTTGGACCAGGATCACCAAGCAGGAAAGAGAAGCTTCAGGGATGCACCATGCTCAGGGAAAATATGATTCAGTGAGCACTCCAAAGAGCTCAATAAAGGCTTTGTCTTCACCTCTATCTATTGCCACTGCCTCTCTCTTGCTGCATAAACTGAAACATCACTTGCCACGCATCAGCCAGAAAGGCACAGCTGACCCTCTACTGAAATGAAGCTAGAGAGTTTTGCCAGCTTGCAGGGGAAATCTTTGAGTATACATCAGCTTTACCTGTTCCTCCCCAAGGAGAAAACTGCACAGAAGCAAGCTAGACCACAGAGACAGGATTAAAGTCCTATGGGGAACCACCACTGAACTCCACCAGGCTACAGAGTGGAAAGGACTGCTACTTCTGTCCCTTCTGCTGAATCCCCATTATACCCAGACAGCTGATTTCTATCTCTCACTAAGCAGATCATAGAATCACGGAACAGTTAGGGTTGGAAAGGACCTTAAGCTCATCCAGTTCCAACCCCCCCGCCATGGGCAGGGACACCTCACACTAAACCATGCCACCCAAGGCTCCATCCAACCTGGTCTTGAAAAATAAGACCTTTCAAGCTAAGGACTGGTTCAGCAGATATTTGAAACTTAAGAAATGCACAAAAGGATATTGTGTTGCCTTTATTAGAACACACTCACAAAGTAAACTGAGCAACCTACAGGAGCAAGCAGTGGAAGAGAGCAAGAAGCAGAAAAGCATCGGTGCTGTTGTGCTTGCAGAGTGCCAAAGTATCTGTGACAGGCAGGGATGGGAAAGAAGCCAAGAGCTTGCACCCTTAATTCACAGCCAGCCGCCACAACCCCTCTGACAATGCACTTAACTGAAATGGAGTCATGCTGGCAGAGCAATCCACATCACTAAACAAGCATCTTCTTCTTTTTCACTAACCAACTTCATGAACTGCATTTGCAGAAAAATCACATTTTCTTTTCACTTGTCCACCAGATTTTTTTAAATCAGGTAAAATCCCAAGCTTTGTACTCAGCATGTTGCTAAGGCCTAGGAAAGTGCTGGCATAGTCAAAGGGTATCTGTTCCGTTCCCATAGCCCTGCCAATTAGGTCACTTGGATTAGCAGAAGAGCTTGCCTCTCTTCCTCCAACACCTGTCAATTGAGGGTCTGCTGGTGCATATATCCTGGAAACCGTTGCAAGCGAAAGTTACAGTTAGAAAATGACAAAAGTGGCTGAAGAATAAATCACCGGGGCCTGAAATAACATTGTTCAGGAAGAGTTACCAAAGAATCATGACTGGTTTGGGTCGGAATGGACCTTAAAGCTCATCCAATTCCAGCCCCTGCCATGGGCAGAGACACCTTCCACTAGAGCAGGTCGCTCCAAGCGCTGTCCAACCTGGCCGTGAACAGTGCCAGCAATGGGGCAGCCACAGCTTCTCTGGGCAACCTGTGCCAGTGTCTCACCACCCTCACAGTAAAGAATTTCTTCCTTATATCTAATCGAAACCTACCCTTTTTCAGTTAAAGACATTACCCCTTGTCTTATCACGATGGTGACACTGCTGGAAAGCTGACTGTGTGCTGAGTATGCCCAGCAAGCAGCAGCTTTCACTCCTGGCCCTTTGGCTGTGGGAACACAGGGCAAACGTTGGTGCTGCAGTCACAGTGCTGCTTGGCAGACCAGAGTGTCCACAGCAGTGGTTAGATTCAAATGGGGTTTCAGATATGAAATCGAGGAGACACTGCAATGTAATTGATAATGTTGCAAAGCTGACTGTGTGCTGAAGAGTCCCAGCAGCAGCTTTCCCTCCTGGCTCTTCAGCTGCGGAGCAGAGCACAAATGTTCGTGCTTCAGTCACTCTGTTCCAGGCAGCCCAGAGAGACCACCGGAGAGGTTGGATTCAAATGGACTTTTAGGTATGAAAGTGAGGAGCAAGTGTAATGATAATGACGACACCGTTGAAAAGCTCAGTGTGTGCTGAAGATTCCCAGCAGCAGCTTTAACTCCTGGCTCTTTGGCTGTGGGAGCAGAGCTCAGACGTTCGTTCTGTGCCCTCACTGTACTGCCTGACAGACCAGAGTGACCACGGGAGTGGTTGGATTCAAATGGGGTTCTAGGTATGAAATCGAGGACAGATTGCAATGTATGTGCTAACGCTGCAATGCTATGTGCTTAGCATGCCCAGCACCAGCTTTCCCTCCTGGCTCTTAGGCTGAGGGGGCAGAGCTCAGACATTCGTGCTTCACTCACTCTGCTGCTTGGCAGCTGAGAGCAAGCTCCTGAGAGGTACGATTCAAGTGGACTTTTAGGAATGAAAGTGAGGAGCAACTGCACTGATGGTGACACCGTTGGAAAGCTGACTGTGTGCTGAGTATGCCCAGCAGCAGCTTTCACTCCTGGCTCTTTGGCTGTGGGAACACAGGGTAAACATTCGTGATGCAGTCACAGTGATGCCTGGCAGGCCAGAGTGACCACGGCAGTGGGTAGATTCAAATGGGGTTTTAGGTATGAAATCGAGAAGACAGTGCCAAGTAAGTGCTAATGCTGCAAAGCTGACTGTGTGCTGAAGATTCCCAGCAGCAGCTTTCCCTCCTGGCTCTTCGACTGCGGGAGCAGAGAACTAACGTTCGTGCTTCAGTCCCTCTGTTCCAGGCAGACCAGAGAGACCATCAGAGAGATTGGATTCAAACGGCGTTTTAGGTATGAAATCGAGGAGAGACAGCAATGTCAGTGGCACTGCTGCAAAGCTGAATGTGTGAAGATTTCCAGCGCCAGCTCCCCCTCCTGGCTCTTCGGCTGTGAAAGCAGACGTGAAAACTTCGTGCTTCGCTGTGCTGCCTGGCAGCCCAGAGAGACCACCGGAGAGGTTGGATTCAAATGGACTTTTAGGTATGAAAGTGAGGAGCAACTGCAATGATGGTGACTTCGTTGAAAAGCTAGCTGTTTGCTGAAGATTCCTAGCTCTCCCTCCTGGCTCTTCGGCTGTGGGAGCAGGGGCCAAACATTCATGCTGCACTAAGTCTGGTGCCAGGCAGCCCAGAAAGACCACCGGAGAATAGGTCTCAAATGGTGTTTTAGGTATGAACTCAATAGACAGCAATGTAAGAGGCATCGCTGCAAAGCTGACTGTGTGCTGACTATGCCCAGCAATAGCTCTCCCTCCTGGCTTTTCGACTGTGGGAGCAGAGACCAAACGTTCGTGCTCAAATCATTGTACTGCAGGGCAACGAGAAGAAGCTCCGGAGAGGTTTGACTCAAATAGACTTTTAGGTATGAAAGTGAGGAGCAACTGCAATGATGGTGACACCGTTGAAAAGGTCACTGTGTGCTGAAGATTCCCAGCAGCAGCTTTTAATCCTGGCTCTTTGGCTGTGGGAGAAGAGCTCAGACGTTCGTGCTGTGCCCTCACTGTACTGCCTCAC